AGTGGAGGAGGGAGGGGAAGAGGGATGAGTTGGTTAGGGTTGATGAGGGGAGGGGGTGGTTGTTTGGTGGGGAGGGGGTTGTGATTGATGTGATGATGTACTTTTTGTGGTTTTGCGGGTTAGAACAAGATAGAAGTATTTCGGAAATATGATAGTAAGAAATGAAAGGACGATTAGAAAACGAGTTGACTCTGATTTTGGAAAATGTAGGTAGATATAAATGCCAGCAGGACTAAAGGAACAAAAAATCAAAAGAAAAAAAGGAAGGGACTTTGAAAATAACTCATAACCCAGATCTTGATCTATAAGTTGCCCAAAACCCACGATATCCAAACGCCTCGCTATATCTATACCTGATATCTCACAAGCGCCAAGAACAAAAAACCAACCCGATCCCAGAATCCCAAAGCTCACCTCATCTCATAACAGGCGGTCTCCCCTCCTTATTCCACTTGACTCTCGTCCTCACCCACTCCACCGCCTCCTTAACCCCCGTCCCCGTCAAAGCACTAACAGGAAGCACTCTCGAATCCCGAATGCCACTCCCCTTACTCCCCTCAAACACCTTCTTCACCAACCCCTCCTTAATCCTCACCACCTCCACACAATCCTCTCGGTCCTGTTTATTGGCCAGCACCAACAGTGGCACGCCCTCCGTCTCACTATGCGTCAAGACATCTTCCAACACTAACCTACACTCCTCCAATCGATCGTTATCTTCATGTTCCAGGTTCCCGTCCCCGATATCTGTGCTATCGATGATAAATACGATGGCGTGACAGGAGGTGTAGTATGACTGCCACAGTTTTCGGAGAGAGTGCTGTCCGCCTACGTCCCATATTTTTATGTACATGTCTGGTAGCGTGATGGTGGAGACATTCTGCCCAACGGTTGGGACTGTTTTGAGTTTTGGGGCGGGTGCCGAGGGGTTGAAGAGCGCTTTTACTTGTTCGTGGAAGGTGGTTTTGCCGGCGTTGTCGAGGCCGAGGAGGAGGACGGAGTATTCTGTGGGAGGAGTTAGTACTGGTGGGCGAAATGGAGAATTGAGGGGAGGGACCTTCTTTGCTTGTGGCATACAAGTAGAGGCCTTTTGCGAGGTGATACATGGTGGTTCGCTCTCTAGCTCGACGGCAATGGCAATCGGTAGATGACGTGTGAAGAAGGAAGGAGTTTTGAATGCCCTAACGACAAAGGCATATGCTTCTTCATATGGAAATCAATATCTGGCAGGCTTGGATCGGGATGATGTTGAATTGAAGGCTGAGATGAAGTACTTGGCCTTTCCCCACAAGGCTGAGGTGAGAGATGGTCGACCAATGAGAGGCTTTCAGATGATGTGGCTCAAATCCGGGGTGTGGCGTTCGTGGCTAGTACCCGTAATTTCAACGCGCTTCCATGTAACATCTTCATCTCATAACAAACAAACCCACCTGATTACATGAATGTTGTTGTATGCCGATTTATACACTGATAATCCTCCCCAAAACACCATTCAAGCAGCATAATAACGGCTGAGAAAGCATTACAAGCTTTACTTGATGTGGTAAAGATGGCACCAGTGGAGACAACCTCAGCCCCCAGGCAAGTTCATCTATCGTGATTTCACCACGTTTTAGCAGCCATTTCATCACTTATACCTTTTTACATCTCATAATTCTTCTATTTAGAAGCTATTTTGAGAATACAACCTTCAGTCCTTTGAATTCATTTCATAAGAACTCTTCCGAATATCTGCTGATGACGTATCTCATAGCCTCATCCCAGCAACCATCACAGGATTCCATTTCTTTTCAATCGGATATCTTGTATTGCTAGCAGGAAGAACTATTTATCGCTCAAAACTAGCTCTTACTCCATCCTCGGCAACTAGATATCGCGAGCCTTTACGTCGAAATCATGTTCGGACTTTTTCTCTCCTAGCCATTGCTAGTATGTTCTCTGCGGGCTTCTTTGGGTTAAAATATGCTACGCTTTCTTATCGAGTATGGGCTGCTGAAAGAGGGGTGGTATTACCTATAACGTGAGTACACCTTTAACTGAGTAAACGGGAAATATAATTAACGAGTGAATAGACTTTTTGGCGACGATGGAGCATTCCGTCCAGGTGAACATCCCGGGAGAGTACATATCGTGAGATGGCTTAGCGATACGCCCTTCTATCGAGATGCTCTTGAAATCGTTTCCGAAAAGCAGAGACATTTCTGGTGGGGCCAACAAGCAAATCTTGGACTTACAGCCTGGAGTATGTTTGTAGCCATCGAAGGACGAAGACGCAAAATCTCGAATCTATGGGTCTTTTTGGCTCTTTCCCAGCTTATCAATCTATCTTTTGCTCAGAACTTATTCTTCATTGCTGTCTTGCTCACTCCTGTACCCCTACCGGGAAATGTCAAGGACATTACGAGAGATTCCATGGGTGTTACTTCAAACAGGTTAGCCGATCAATCTCGAAAGGGGTGTTGTTCATTAAAATTTCCCATAGATTCTCGGAAATTAAGGAGAAAATGTTTCCAGAGAAACCGGAAGGATTCATTCCCCATACTGGACTCTATATCAGTCTTATCCTCACTAACTTCATGTCCATCTTCCTCATCCCATTCGCTTCCAATACCCCCTCATTCACAACCATCTCTATCCTCTCTCGCACCCTCCCCTTCTCGTTCCTCGCTCTCCCGTACATAATCCCACAGTCCTGGGGCAAAATTCATACGAACCCTCACACACCCCAATTAACCTATTCAACAATCTTCCGCACCATCTCTGCCATCTCCCTATTACATCTAAAAACCACCACACTGGCATTAATCCACAACACGCCCTCGGAGTATACATACCGTCACTCCATCCTTCATCCATTCTCGTCAGAACATCACTCTACTTTAGACCGTGGATCTACAGCCGTCACTAGTCTGCTCGGAGCTATTGGTGAGCATCCTGCTGTCAGTGCTGCCGGCTGGGATGTTCTCCTCTCAGGACTCAATTTGGGAATCTGGGCTGCGGCAAGGGGATTAGATGCAAATGATACGATGAGCTCTTGTATTCCATTCTTTGGTTCCGTCAAGAAAGTTTCAGAAGCTGCTGAGGAAGTGATCGTGGACGAGATTAAAGAGGAACTGTTGGTCTCCCCCTTCTCCTTCCTCTCTCGATAAATTCATGAAGCAAACACTAACTCTCCACTTCGCAGGACATCCACGTCCCGCACCCCAGGTCGACCAAAGAAATCCGCCACCACTGGTAAACGCGGCAGACCGGCTAAGAATAGGTTGCCCACGCCAGAGGATACTTATCAACCTGATGAGACTGGACCAGTGGCAGAGGGCGATGAAGAGGTGGAAGAGGATTGGGAGAGTGCGGCACTCGCTTGGGGTGGTATTGCGATTGGAGGGTTGGGATTTGGTAGCGCGGGGGCTTATGGTGGGGAGGTTAGAGCGAGGTGAGTTTAAGATGGGAGGAGAGAGGGAGTTGTTTTTTAAAGTTTTGTTTTTGGTATATCAAGGGTCGGGGGCTCATGGGGTGGGATTGGCTGGGTGTGAGATTGTGAAGTGTGAAGCGGGAGTATAGTCTTTTGGTTGGATGGTTTTGTTCTGGGTATAACGACATTAGGAAGTCGATTTAAGAGAATCTGAGCGTGGAGATGTAGGAGCCAGTCAGATGTATGGGGGTAGAAAGTCATTCCACTACGATATCCAGTTCCGATTTCTGAAGGACACAATCCGCTGGCTTACTTGTAAATATTCAACAAGGTACAGTCTCATCATCCCCTCACTAGAATGATGCTAAGACCATACATAGTCTCAGCCTTGATGCATCAGTGTCTTTAGTTAAGAAACGCGGTTTAGACTCTCAACTTACTAAGTTACTACCACTGCACGCAGGAGCTCGTAGACTCATGATTAATAGTAGGGAAGCCTTCTTGCCTTCTAAAATTATACATTTATCAAAATTCGGAAAGCTTAAAGGGTTATTGTTAGTACTTCTAGTTTATCCCTCACGGATCTGTTTTCTTGGACGCGTAGCAATTACAAGTTAGTTCATAGTCACTTGGCATATATGGAACATGGAGTGGTTAGAAAGTGCCTAGTTTTGAGTCCTAATGTTTTTATAGGCAGTTTATATTATAGTTGTATCTCTTTACAGTAGGGAAACCAAGAGTTTGAATTAATCTTGTTAGTAGGTAATATTTTGATAATATGGATATTACGAATATGTAATTAGTAAATGAAGGATTTACTTACCTAGTAGAAGCTAAGTTAGTTATTAAACGTATACTATTAAATTCTATGACATACTATGACGTACTATCGTGAGTTCAGTTTAATAATACCTAGACAATAATCTATCTATCTACCTCGCATTAGATGGGACAGACAAGATGTCTCGTGTCCTTTAGCCTTCAAATATTTTGGATTTGCTCTGAAGTAACCAAAACAGTGGATGTGCACTCGGAGACGATACTGCAACAGCAATTCACTCTGCAATCTTGGCAGGCTAGCTTGGTAGTTTGAAATAAGAGCTATGATGACACCTTTCTTCTCCTGTCAAAACCGCAACCTCATTGGCCAATCTCGCGTATTATGGGTCCGTGTAGATAGACCACTGCTCCACCGCTCCACGCGTTTCAAGCCAACCTCATCGCGCCAACTTCACATCTTCATCCGGGATATTCAAAGAAAAACGCAACATCATGGAGTCTGCGAATCGTGTTCAGCCTGTGGCCATGCCATGGGTTTCTGGCCTGCCACCGGAAGTTTGGACTATGGTCGGCCAACAGGTTCGTTAACGTCCCCCTTGTCCTCTAGACGACTGCCTCATTGGGATAGCTGTAGGGGCAGATATTTACAGAAAGGAATTTGGGAAAACGAATCTAATTTGAATCATAGATATCTGACCAAGTGACAAGAAATTCTCTGCTACTTGTTTGCCGTGCTTTCAGGGATGTATTTACCCCTTTGGCACGAGATACCTTGATGTTCAAGGTTAATGATTTTGCACTTGAGAAGTTGGGCGAGAAGCCCTTGCCGCCTGGAGCTGTCAATGTCAAGCATCTCATGGTTAGAATGGAAGAGTTCTGTGATGGGCCAAATGGAGAACTTGCCCGCGAGGCTGATACGCACAGCACAGATGGATTATCCATGTCGAGGGTTTCCTGATGAGATTGGTAGAGGCAATGCCCAACCTTCGGACTTTCTCGTTTGTCAATCGCCTCTCCACGTCCTGTCCCAAACTAATTCTATGCTTTAGCTACTGTGATGAGTCTATAGAACCCGAATCTTGGCCTACTCATGTGCTGCAACAGTCTGACTGGTTCCAAACTCTGAAAGGATTACCGAAGTTGAAGAGCATCAAATTTGTGGCCAACAACTTCATAGAAAACAATGCGCAGGCCCTAGATTTCTCAACCGAAATTATCTTGCAATCGGCCGGGTTTAAAAATCTCAGCTCATTGCAGCTATACAACCTTAGAGGGCCGGAGTCAAAAATACTGAGCGACTTGGTACACACACTTCGTGCATGCCCCCGACTCACCCTTTTAGGCATTGGGAAGCAATGCAGATCGGATGACTTTATAGTCGATTCCTTCGTGACTTTAGAGGATGGGATTGGTATGTTGGAAAAGCTTTGTAATCAGTATAGCGCTGGTGGTAAATCAGGTAAGCAGACCTTGGGGCTAGTTTTCTTGCTGCCACCATCTTAGCTACGGAGAAATTGTGACTTGCCTAGGTATTGGTTGCATCACGGCCGCCAAACCAAAGTCACAATCTGGGTTTTTTTGAAGCGCAATCGTCAAAGAGGGCCTTGAGCAACCGACCCGGCTACTCAGAGTGGAGTCAAGATGTCCACTGCTATAACATCTTCCCAGTAAAACAAAGCCGTTTGGGCAACTAGGCCACGTCTCAAAGCATTTGAGTCTTAAATCGACCCAGTTGTTATATCCACCTCAATCTACTCCGAGTGCACGATTGCAACTGGAGCTTAGTACTCTGGAAGGGATATACGCCCGATACAATGAATCCTCGTTGAGTTAGACTGACCTTAAGACTTTGGTATAGATCTACTGCCACTTCGTACTCTCCGGCTGGGCACCTTTTTTTCTCCATACAAGAGCGAGTCCACTACCAACTACTTGGCCAAACTAGTAAAGCTCGAAAACCTTCAGAATCTTATCTATGGAACGGTCATCGTCTAGACCCCGCTGATGAAGACATGGAGGAAGAGGGTCAACCCACACAAATTCAGTGGGCTCTGTTTGATTCATCCACGATTACCAGTTTGCAAATTACTTTACTCGACGATGATGTTCTCGAATGGCTCAATGACAAGAAAACTGTCCGGGAGCTTATTCTTATTGAGCAGTATCAGCAAAACAGACCTGCAACCAGAAATCTACCCAAGCTTCGCCTTCCTCACCTGAGTGTATTACACATTCGAGACGATGTACACTCGCGGACTCCTTTGTATCCGCGAGCTGACCAAGATCTGATTCCTACACAAAACCCAGGGTCTAATCGTTCTGAAATTACGACGAACACGTTGATACCTAATCCCAGTGCCGAGTATTCCAACGCCAAAATTCTTTGGCCAGAAATGGATTTGGATGCGGTTCCCGACCCCGCTATTGCATAGCATACCACAATTTTGGATGCATTGCACGGTAAAGGAATAGAACTTGAGAAACTTGCCATTAGCATGCGCTTTGAAACGCAATTTGTATGTACTCTGCCCCGATTTCATTGCGAAGCTTACATAATGACTAGTAGGCATTCGTTCGCCGCCTCAAAAACATGCCCAAATTGAGATATTTACGGCTGATGCCAGGCTACCTTGGTCGGTTTCTACCACCTGATGCATGCCGTTGGCCAAATATCACGAGTTCCAAACATCTCGCATACTGCTACGTCAAGTTCTTGAAGAACGTTTGTCCCTCGCTTCAATATATTAAAATTGGCGAGTATACGTGGCAAATTGTTCCGAAATGGTGTCAAGAAAGGTCATTGTGGGATGGCCTCGATTACATTTTCATTCCACATGGCGAGGATACCAATATGGATATTCTGTCCTATGATTCGTGGGCAGAGAACTCTGGCTTGATAGGGGCTGACCGTTTTGTTAATGTGCAGGGTGATGAGGGAATGAAGGAGGTGGAAGACACTATTGTCGATGACGATGAAGACGTCAGTGAAACCGATCCTGAATTTGATTCCGAATTGGACTTCGACAATGATGAGCTTGTGTATTATTTTGGACTTAGCGGAGAATCAGATGAAGGAGACTGGACGGATGAACCCGCTTCTGAGACTGATTAATCAACAATTTCCCCAGGGCATGGGTCTTTCTGTTTGTTGTTTCTACCTTTTGTGTAGTATTAGCAGGCAAAGCTAGGTAATATGATCTGTCGAAATGTTTAGCTATGTGTACAACCAAAACTGGCCAGTAGTCAATTTGGATTTCTGTCGCTGTGACTAAAGTAGGTGACAGATTCTCGGATTACGCCCGTAACAACAATGAAGCTTCAACCATCGAGCCAATATCCGATAATGGCAGACAGTAGAGAACTTCCATTCCATAACACAAAACTACACGCTTTTCAAAAACAGCCACAAAGTACTCCTCTTCCCCAAGATTACATCCCAAAACCAAACTCTCATTACTCCTCCCAAACACCCCTACTCCCAAGCCCTCCCCCCTATAACTTTTCCAAACAACAGATCCCTCACCCAAAAAATACAAAAAAAACATCACCTCACTCCCTCAACCAAAACCAAAACTTCCTCCCCCCGGGCCTCATCTTCGCCATCTCCCTCACCTTCCACTCCTCCCTCCTCTTATTCTTCACCATCTTCTTGACCGCCTTATTCGTCTCCCTCTTCAGATGTCGATACGTGTCGACCTTGGCGCGCTCGTAGTACTGCCGTGAGCCATAGGGGTGTTGGGCTTCGAGCTCCGCCCAGGATTGATAGGGGAGGGTTTGGTTGCGGGCTTGGCAGAGTTTGAAGGCTGCGCTGTTAGTTGGGTTTATATAGGAGGGAGGAGGGAGGGGAGAGGAAGGGATGTACCGCGGTCTTGGAGGCCGGAGGCTGTGTTTATTAGGTTCTTGAAGAGGGGGTGGTGGGTTGGTGTTGGTGAGGTGGTTGTGGTCTTGGAGAATGAGAACATGGTTGCAATTTTTTTGGACTCAACAATCTGTCGAATTTATTGTTTTTGTTTACTTTTCTTTTTTTTCCTGAGGGGGAAAATCATGCTTGGGTGGTTTGAGGGGGATATAATGCTTAGCCGAGAGAGCTGACGGAGCTGGAAGCGAGTTATGAATCACCACTTTTTCTGGGGATGTCTTCGAGGAGTGTTGTTTTGGGAGCTGCTGTCTGAAGGGGGGATGGGAGTGTATTGTGAAATGGGGAAGCTGAAAATATTGGGAAGAGGGAAGGAATGATGTTCAAGTTAGGATTACAGGTAATAGGTATGGCGGGTGAGTCCCGTGACTATATTCATTTTACCGAATGAAGAATTCCACCTGCATCAGTATTTATAGCATATCTGAGTCGAATTATAAAGCACCCAAAAGCTCCGCATTAAAGTTAGATCTCATCAAAGGAATGGAAAGTAGAGAGGAGCAAACTACCCAGACACCATACCTATGGTGGGTGGAATTCACGTGACCTACCCCCAGCTATCCCCCCTCTTTCAATCATAAATCATCCTTCGGCCAGCAAGACACGATTCGAATTCTCAAGTTCTCCATTATTACGATATTACTGTATTATTGAGATGGTGAGTGTAATCTCAAAAGCCTGCTTCCCTTGTAATTTATTTCTCATGAGAAGAAATCGCAGTTAATCGTACCTACGTATGAGTGCGTGTGGTTAATACTCTGGGCATGGTCAAAGTCGTGCCTTCCTTGTCATAGTGAAACTTGACCTTAACCATGATAGCGTGAGTATAGATAGCCTTACCTTAGGTAAGGTAATGCGAGATAAAAAGGAAGGAGCGAGGCGAGGCGAGGCGATGTCTTCCCTCACCTCAAGAAGATTAGCAAATCATTTCATAGCAGGAGAGCCAAGGACCTAATGAAATGAAAGCTACAATTACAATTACAAAAGACATAATAGTTAGAAATCCTCAAAGACATTACATAAAACCCCCCAAGCCCCAGCTACGCCTTCTCCCCATCCATCTCCATCAAATCCACAATATACGTCCTAATATCCCCATAACACTGCTCAGCCTCCTTCAACATCGCAACAGGAACAACAAGAAACCCATGCGGCGCACCCGTATAAATCTTAATGAAGGCCGTTCCACCCGCCATCATCCACCGCATGCCCATAAGCACACTATCATCCAGCAACGGATCCTCCGTGCCACATGTTAATAAAGCACCCGGGAGACGACCACGGAAGGGCCCCAGATCCTCGTAGAAGGGTGAGACGGCCGGTGTCTTCTTCTGCGCCAGAGACATGTTGGGCATGAAGGAGTCGCGGAACTGGTTAGCCATGGTTTCTGGGATGATGGCGGCGTGCGTCATGTTAATGTGTAGTGGGAGCTTGGTGAGATCGTAGCAGCCAAAGTTGAGTACGAGGCCGAGGATGTGGAGATCCGGGTACGTCTTAAGGAGATGGAATAAAGTCACCACAGAAAGGTGACCGCCAGCCGACTGTATGAATTGTAATTAGAAATTATATATATAAATCGACTAGGCCAGCTTATAGGCGAGGAAAAAGAGACTATCAAAAGAGTAACTCAAGAAAATCAGCTTCTGAGCGAAGCATCATTCTGATCATTACTGCCATTTGACTTGACCAAGTATCTTGGTCGATTTTTCACTTGCGACGAGACTTTAACTCCGACATACCTCACCGCCGATAAACTTTAATGGTCCTCCGTAGTCTTTCTCGGAGTTCTTGAACACATGTTCTCCTGCATCGATACAATCTTCCGGCCCTCGTGGAAACGGATGCTCTGGACCAAGCCTGTATCCGATAGAAATAGCAGCCAGATCACCAGTGTCGGCATAAAATTGCAGAAGTCGGTCCTGGGATCTCTCATCACCGAGCGTCCATCCACCTCCATGAAAATGCAAAAAAGAACCTTTACAATTATTCCTTTCTCCATCTGTCTTCCGACTCGACGGATATATGACCCTACATGGTATGTCTCTCCCGGCTTCTCGTGAACCTATTTTGAAGTTGATTCCATCTGGCGAAACGGTTGGAACAGGAGTTGGCGTTTCTCCAGCCCATACCATTTCTCGATATTTGGGAGCTCCAACTTCATACCATTTTGGTGCTGAGGCTGCTCTCTCAATCAGAAGTCGATTGAGATTATTAGCTTGTTCGGTATTGTTGGCGGGGTCGAATTTCCCCGCATCGATGACGACATCAGAAGTGAGAGGCATGATCAAGGCGATTTCATTCCAAGGAAGAAAGGAAAGTGGTGTAAAGTTCTAATCAAAAAAAAACTGGCGAGTGTCGAGGTTATAGAGTTGGAGCAGTGTCTCTTCCAAAATCGGTAGTGCTTGCGACTTACAGTCTTATTTAGTGGAGTACTGCAAACCACTAAACCCCACCCGCGGGGTACAGTAGGTGAACCTTGGCAACACGTGGGACGAAACCATCCGGGTAGACATTCCAAATAAACAAACAAACAAGCTCCTTCACCTTTTCAATAGGCGGTTGCTGGACCTGGGTTCACCTGATGCCTTTGCGTAAGCGGCGTACTTGCCATTTGTCGCTCTTCGAGGTTTTTCTGGTACTTGACCGAAAATCCTGTTCTTGCCGTAATTTATCAACGCAGCCATAGTTTTGAAAGGAAGGCCGGCAATGGCAGCAAAAGCTTGAAGTGGAAGAACCACTGCTGTTGCTCCCCACTCTACCAAAAGGCCGGTAAAGGTGCGATGTCTTTGACCACTATTTGCTGCCGCAGCAGCCAGTGAGATGGCATCGTTGAGTCTTGACTCGAGGTCCTGCAATCGAGATTCCGTTTGAAACGTTTGAAGTGTAGCACGCTTCTCATAACGGCGCACCGCTCGATTGAGCGCATCAAGTTCCGGCTGTAGTGCCTTGCGCACTTCCATTGTCATTTGAGCTGATTGCTTGCCCGTCAATGTAAGTTCCACATTTGGCGACGGGTTATTAGTCGCCAAACTGCGAACCTCCAAAGCTTCAATTCTTGCGAACAGCTCCTTTGATTTTTCTGATTCATTTCCGCTGCTATTTGCACCAGTGTAGGGATTTTCCGCCACAACTCGTTGAAGATGTAGCGTTCTAGATTGAATCAATTTGGTCAGATGCGCCATGGGTCGTAGCTCCGAAGCAAGTAGGAAGATAGTCAAATTGTAATTGGAAACCAGTCCCTCCGACGGTCGACTTAACCGTGATCGAATTGTGTGAAGTAGATATGCACCAAGTAGTGGAAATATGAAGCACGAGAGCAGAGCTAAGACCTCGTGAGTATATAGTTCTTTGGTTGCTGTATCCCGAGCACGAGAAGGGCGAGTGGCCTTCGAACTCGGCGATGGAGACTCGGCGACCTCTTCCTCTGGGACCTCTTCCAATGTTGTTTGTGAAAAACTCAAGGAGTTTTCGTCGTCGCTATCATCACTATATATGCCCCCAGCCTCTTCCTCCTTGAGTCGAATCAATTGAGCAGAGTGATACCAGTCCCTGGTGGCATGAGCTGTTAGCACTCGTGCGACATGAAGATGCCAGAATCCTACATACCATGGCAACCGGACGGACCAGTTCAAGAAAATGGCAGCCAGTCCTAGGAGCATGATGTCTGTCATGACAAAGCTTCCATGGGTAAATAGCATCCCTCCAATGGCCGGCAACAGGGCAAACGCAAGAGGCGCTGAATGCCATGGCGAAGAATCCGGGCTACTTTCTGAACCCATCGCGTTTGGTTTGGGGAGTAATAGGTCATCCGTTGATGATTGGAATGTCTTTCTGGCTTCGCTGAGAGAGTAGTCGGAGAAGTTTGAGCTTCTCTTTCTCAGACCCACCGGGGAAGGCGACTCGGCCTGGCTAGACAACGACGGGCGCAGACGTGGAGAGGGCCGCCGTGCGGACTCGTCCATAGCTGAGGTTGTGGCCGATTTACGAATTGGTGCAAAGCCGGAAGGGGGAGATGGCGGTTCGCCAGTCGCCATCGCGACGTTGTCGTCGTCGTCGTCTTTAACTGTTGTCGATGGGATGGGATGGAAATAGAAACCTGCTTGCCCTTGCCTTGATCCCCGGGTGCTGGGGTAAGGATCTTACAGGGCAAGGTAGGTATTATTGATCGTCACAGGGTTCAGGTCCAGTGGAGGCTGTGGGGGTGGAGTGGAAGTGGACGTGAATGTGGGTATTGCTTTCCTTGGCGATGATCACTTCATCCGTCCCCCAACTCTCGAGCTCAGACAACCACAGGTGTTGTTGAAGATATATGTAGTCGAGAGTATAAATGCCGGCTGGATGCCAGCGTGAATGCTCCATGTATCGATATACAAGAAGAAGTGAATCACGGGGGACGATTCCCACCTATAAGCATGATTTCATTCCTCTCCGCCTCCGCCCTGCCTTACACAGGCAAGCTTGTTTTTCTTGTACGCGAGAATGTCCAGCCCTCGCATAATTTGTCTTACTCCGTATTCATTTATGATATCCTTATTTACAACTAACCTTATTTTCACAACATTTGCATTTATTCTGACCTCTTGACTTGCACACAGGGTTAAGGTACTGCAATTGTTAAAGAAAAAGGTCCAGATGAGAGGAAATAGCAAAGGCAGCTGGAGCATTTCTCCTATGAGCCAGTGACGGAAGCCATAGTACGGCGAAACACATTCTACAAGACCATAAATCACAAACGAATTTTGGAGAATGTCATCGTATTCCAGATACCATACTGTCAACAAATGCCTTTGCAATCCAGTTGTAAACCGAGGCTGCACTAACCCCTTAACCGAAATCTTTCACAATGCACTTGTCTCCCCTAACAACAACATTGTAGGTACGATCGGGTCCAAATTTCTGTCCACAGGTTTTCTGCCAATGCATGTTGTTGATAGTCTGTGCGGTAGAAGCCTGTACAAATCTATCAGTATCATAATATACATTCGGGTTAGAAAGCATCAACTTACATCATTCCAGAGTTGAATGGTACTCCCCTGGAAGCATCCAAGTTCAGCTTTGTCTTTTGGGCCAACAGTAGTAGACACTCCCACGTCCGGAAGGAAGTGGGCAAGTGTGTTGATTGTATAGATGTTGGCGTCTGTCCAGCCGTGTTGATTGCAGATACACTGAACTCCCTGCTGTACGTGTTTGTTAGTTTCTACCATCTACGACAGGGAGAGGGACTGCTTACATCCTGTCTAGCTGCGAGAGATCTCGGGTTGCCGGCGAGGGCCTAATGGTAGAAGTTAGCCTTATCGTCTTCGTGCTCTACACAGGAGTGTACTCACCATGCCCACAGTTCCAAGGAAGACGATGATAGTTGATGTCAACATGATTATGGTGTACAATAGAGAGAATTATTACGAGAAATATTATTGAAATATTGTTAAGTACTGGCTGTTATGTATGTATTTGATTCGGAGATTCGTGAGAACGTTTTGGAAGGATCACATTATTTATATAATAGATGGCCATTCATGACGACGCCAGCTTGTGAATATAATTGTCCAGAGCTACCCAACGGGCCTTTGTGATTTCCTTTTCTGTTCAGATGTTCTTGCTACCCACTCTTTGATAATATCTATGTTTTTATATCAATAATCGGGTTTGGCGACTCATATGTCCATTCACAGTGTCCACAAACTTCGCGATTATGACTCTTCACGGTCATTGTAAGACTTCTTAGATTTTCAGAATTATCAAAATTCGCATATATTTCTGCTTTGTAAATCAAGTCACTTAGACAGCTTACTACATTCGCAATGAATCTGTGATTTACTAGTGTCTTAATCATAGAACTTCTGAGGTGATTGCAATTACTATGGCTGTTAGGTCTAGTATGAGGTACGCCTGGTGGTTAGAGACCTCACGTCTCATACCAGAATGTTGAACCGTAGCCTTTCTCTGGAGCTATGGAAATTGTAGCACTAGCACAAAGAAATGGAGAACGGGTTATGGAAAACAATATTGGATTTCTAATACCGATGCCGTACAATCTAAAATTCTATCTGCAACCCAGTTGCAAGTTTCAACCCCTGGATTCTCTCAGCCCTTAATCGCTAATCTTTCGCATGACCAATTCCTTCAAGATGCATTTCACAGCCCCCCTCTCCTTTCGCACTCTCTACAGAACGAAGAACAACATCCCACTCATTATGGGGGCCGCCGAATTTCTGCCCACAACCCTGACATGATGTTTTGATATCTTCAGCATAGTCTGCTACCGTGCCGCAAGGCACGCTCTGTTCACTTCCCGACTGAGTTTGAGCTGTTAGCATTGCTATGGATATACTAGTAAGAAGGTACTTACATCGTTCCACAACTCAATTATGTCCGCGTTACCACCTCCTGCGCATCTGACACGGTTGACAGATCTTGCCTTAACCGTACATTGATCACTACTGCGTCTACGGAGGTCATTTACAATCTGTTGGTAAGATCCCCCCCCCCCGCTGGCTGCCAGCCATGCTGATCACAGACGCATAGAGCGTGTTGCTGTACAGTTTTGTTAGCCTTATACTATTTTCCGTGGGAAAGAGACATGGCATGCTTACTTGTCTAGTTTCGAGGCTTCTGTCCCTGAACTTGGTTCTACCGTGTTCAACGGCGGGATCACCATAGGCCGCAAGTACCTAGTAGTTGGTAATCAGTTTCAGTTGTCTTGGACTTGTGCCCCCCTCTTTGGTTATGCTCACCATGCTTAGCATGCCCATGGTTCCGAGAAAGAACAAAATGGTTCTAGTCAACATCTTCATTATGTTGGTAAATGTGTGAGATGTTTAGTGATCTTGTTGTTTGCATTTGTGGAGTTGGTGTTGAGATTTTGTTTGTTGTCAGATATTTTGTTGGGAAGGTTGTTAAGAGAGTGTGGAGGGAAGGAACGCTTTCTTTTATACTTCCTCGGAGAGTCATTTTGTGATTAATCGTGCTGTTTGTCCGTTAATTATTAATGGGATCGTTGTTTTTGTGATTGAAATTCGACTCTTTAGTTCTTACGTGGTACGATGTTGAATAAGCTTGCAATTCCATCTAAAGTTTTCCTGCTTCACTCTTGTTTTGCTATTCACAGAACTTATTCCCATCCACATATCTATTGAAACAACTGGAATGGCCTGGGCTACCTGAGGAGACAGCAAGAGAGAGGCTACGCCGAGTTCATTCTACTGTATCTAACCACTTAACAGTCAACTTCTAAATTGAAGGCAAAGCAAGTTCTGATAAAGGTGCTTAAATTGTCTAATAGGGGAGCTTCTAACAAAAGTCTTGATATTGCAACCAACAAGAACTGCAATTCTGCCATCCTTGATACACCAATCCATCCCCTGAAAGTGACATAAAAACAACGAAATAATCACAGAAACTGTATGATCATCGCTAACAAATCGGTGGCAGCAGTGCCACCTGGAAAAGCAGAGGGTTCTCCGGGCTTGGACACTAACGTGCCTTTTATGGATTGTCTTAACACCCCTACTTGATCTCTGAGAAGGGGGTTCAAATATCCCGCAACTCAAAGGTTTTTATTTTTGTGGTGGTTAACACTCCTTCCCCTCCCTGATAATCACATTCCATTCTGGATTCAATCTATTGGGCTCAAACCACTGGCCAAGAACCTGGCGTGCCGAGTCTTCTCCGCTGCCTCCGCATGAATCTAGGATTCTTCTGAGAGCATTATGTACTTTTGGGCATGGGACATTTATATTTAGCTTTATTTGTCATCAGTTTCACCACTTTTGCTGTATTTGATTTGAAAGAGTACATACATTGCTGCTACAAAACGAGACAAGTGCACTCTTATTCTTCTTTTTCCCTTCCCTTTCTTTACAGGCGACAGTGACGCATTCCTTGCCGCTGACTGAACACCTTGGCTGTGGTAGCACGTAATTTGATTGCTTTGGGGCAAGTGCGCTAAGATCACCTAGAAGTAGCCCAGCTTTGCCCATGGTAACTGGTTGCCAGTCATGGCCTGGAATATTGTGGCATATTGGGTTCTTTTCATCCAGTATCATCAGTATATCACCTATATAATTGTACAGAGTAAGAATATTACAGGATCATCTTTGGCATAACTACCAGATCTAGTTTGCAAACCCGCATGGGCAGGGCTAGCTGCATTAAACTGCAAATGACCTAAGGTTAGCAACTGTCTTGCGTCAAAGACCAACTTCCGTTGTCTAGAACACCTACAACCCAGGCCATAAGCAAAGCGTTGAGAACAAAGCTCAAGAAGAAAATTTTGTGTAATTTTATGTATTTTGTTTGGTTTTGTTGAGGGTATGATAATTTCTGACAAGATGTGACAGAGATGTTGTCTTAGGGAGAAGGAGAAGTTTTGAACTGGAGAGTAGGCAGGTATTTATACCTTTGAAACAGTAACAAGCCTGGGAATGGGATATTTAGTCATCACGCATTAGCCTACTTACAGTCATGAGAAGAGACAGACTTCTGAATGGTGAGAAAATCGCGTTTGGCTTGTTTGATATATGGGGTCTTTTGTGATGTGACTCAACAGTCATAATCAGGTTGGTGAATAGGCCCGTCAAGATTAACCTAAGAGCCTTGGGTTCCAATAGTAACTCAGTTACCTCACCTTATTTCATTTATCTCAAGCTCTTGTTAGATTTCTTCGTCTTATTGTGCTGTTAACTTATATCCATCCTGGGAGTTTCATGAAATTCAAAAAGAATGGTAGGAAAACATCGCATTATTATCTAGTATACAAAGCTTATGAGCCATGGTTGACTCCGCGAAATAAGGGCCCCACAGTATATCTAGGCGTCTTGCGGTTTATTTTGATTTATCGCATAGGCTTCCTTTCTGGCGCACAACCACATTCCACTCCTTGCCTGGACCGAAATACTGGCCCAGAATATAGTTTTCTCACTCAGGATATACGCCCTGACATGCAGCTTGAATCTGTCGAACGCCATCCACTAAAACTTTACAGGGCCTCTCTACTCGGTCATTCTGCCGTCGAGATTCCGATGCTTTACTGCTTTTTATCAAAAGAAGGAACGAGGAACTTACGATTCCGCTACAGAATTCGATGGAATCTCCAGCAGGGCTTGTAACATTGCAGGCAACATTAGTACAGCTTTGTGCAGCAACCCCACAAGTTTGAGTAACCATGAGGTGATCGATCAGTCCTGAGAGGGAGGTTGAGGAAATGGGCTTGTAGCCCTGCACGTTGAAGCAGTTGGGGTTCTTTCCGTTTTTTGTCAGCTCTCTGAAGGTTTTATCTGCTAAGCGTTGATAACTTACGGATAATTCGGGAGCAGAATCTCTAACACGGTTCTTGAATCTCTTTTGGAGGACTTTTCCCGCAGGATTAGTGGCATTTGCCTGGTGAAATTTAGCTACATTATTTCCAGTATGATATATATGGAAACCTTCGTTGATTAAGCGGCGTACTTACCATCAGTGCTGCGAAAAAAACATGCAGAACCAAGTTTAGAACCAAGTTCAAAAGCAACATGATGGAACTTTTGGTAGTATAAGATAATTTTGGAAAATCTATTCTAGCGTATGTGTTTTGTTTGTTTGAAGATGTCGGCAGTAAAGAGTTTGAAAGCAGGAGATTCCAGGACCTTGCACGGGTATTTATATGTTCGACACCCTATGGATGTGAATCGAAAGCTAGGATTGGCGTTTGTGATTGTTAGTGTGGATAATAGACTGCTTATCATATATGGCCTTGGTCAGGAGTAAAAGCGTGGCATCGGAGGTCTGAAGTCTCACGCAATGTAACAAGAATGGATGAGAATATCCTATTATTTTCTAGTGTACAGTACAAAATTTATCAGCCACAGTAAACTCCACGCTATGAGGTTTTCCCTGTATTAGGTTATAGGTACGGTGGCATTTTTTTCGCATGGGCTTCCTTTTCGGCGTACAAGTACACTCCAGTCTTTTGCTGGACTGATATACTGACCAAGAACATGGTTTTCTCCCTCGGGGTAGTAGTTGACCGAACAATCTCTTTGGATCTCTCGAACACCTTGATTAACTAGATATATGCAGGGTATTTCTACCGTGGCATTCTAGCAACAATTTCTGATTAGCATTGCTCTGTTGTACTTAAAGGAGCAAATGAGAACTCACAGTACCACTACAAAACTCAATGACATCTCCATCCACAGGGGGCGCTCCTCTGTTGTTACACGCAACGAAGATACATTGTCTTGCAGCGACTCCACACATAGGAGTAATCATGAGATGATCGATGAGATCTTGGAGGGCCATCGAAGGAACAGGCCCGTAGCCTCGAAAGTTTCCTCAGTAAGGATTCTATCATTTCCGACTCGTCAGTTCTATACAGTATGATTCATCGGCGACGAAGGGATTATGGATCTCACAGGTAATTTATGGACAGAATTTGTGTTATTATCCCATTTTGTGTCATTATGCAACCGTTTCTGCAGGAACCTATATGCAGAATTTGTGGCATTTGCCTGGTGGCGATCAGCTATAATAGCACAATATAGGGAACCTACAGAAGTTGAGGGGTGTGTTCTTACCACTAGCGCCATGAGGGAAGCACGCAGAATCAAGTTGGAAAGTAGCATGGGGGCGATTTTTGTGGTGGAAGATACTTATATAATTATTCTTTCACGTAAGTTTGTGTGGTATTGGTTTGCTCAAAGATCGTTGATAGTAGATTATCAAAAAGGAAAGGAGATTTCGGGGCCTTGCGCAGGTAATTATATTTTCTGAACCCCTGTAATAAACGAAGTGCGATTTACATGTGTTGTTGGCGATAGGTGAAGGCAAAGAGATGGATTCTTTGTTAAAACAAGGATCGAGAAATATAGGAAATGGGTTATCACTCAACTATCCTATCAAATTGCAGACACATATACAAGAGACATCACAAGAGTGGGCTGGCCACATCGAACGAACGAATGCTTTTCTTCATTTGCAATTCTATCACCTTTCATTTCAACACAAATTCTTTACATGCTATAGGAGCGCTTCATTTGATTGCTTGTTATATTTTCAACACAGGTTATGTTGCCTTACAAGAAGCAGCTGTGCCATTAAAGTCCAACCCAGCTCCTGCTAAGCGAGCACGTTGCAAGCCTACAGATTACTCACGACCAACAAACCAACCAACGAACAACAAAGACACCAACATTTGTAACACTCAATATTTCTAAAGAAACCACTAAAATACACAGATCAATTTGGTATCCGTTAATTACGGGAGATTTCATTGTTGCCTCCATTGATTGCCAATACTGGTGGGCGGGATCTTTCACTAGTGAAATGGCTTTCATGGGTATGGCAAAATATAGGCGAGATTCCGGGACCTTGCTCAAGGACTTATATTTTCAGACCCCTATGGATGAGAATTTAGAGCTAGACAATAAATTTGCGAAGAATCCTGTGGAAATTGGACCGCGAATCCATATAGCCTTGGTGGTGAGTGAAATCATCATATCGAGGGTGGTTGTGAACCAAGTTCATATAATAATCAGATTCTGCCGAATATTTGTCAGGCATTCAAGAAAAAGCACCTATGATAGATTAAGCTGCAGGTCAAACTATATAATCTCTGCAAATTTCTGAAAGATTTCTGAATCTCTCCTACAAATGCAATCTTCCTTAATTCCTTTATTTTCAAGCCAGCAAAGCAGAAAGAAATACTCGTAGCATGAGTCTACTGAACATTATTCCACAGTTGTATATTGTTCCAATATTCTCCATAGATCAGTATGATTCTACCAGAGGTATATACATCCTCAAACCAGCTCTTCTACTACATCTTTTGACAACTCTTCTATGTTGGGTCCCAGTGACTCCTTATCTGCCCTTATTGGAAAATACGGCCACACACTGTTGCATTTGTTTCTTTATTACAATTTTCCATCAAATACCCACCGAGTTACATAATCTCAAGAAAGATTCATATTCTGTTCATGTTGTTCTGAAAGTGTCGCGATATCCACGTCCTGGCATCGTAGGAGGGAGATCACGTGGCACTTCTTAGACATCTAACAACACTAGTACGTATTCTTAGCTAGAACTCCACACTCCCATGATCCATTGTAAGTCATAAACAACCAAGAAGGCAAAATATAATCTTGACAGAGAATCATTGCGGAAATTCCTTAATATTTGACTTGTAAGCACGGAGGCTGCTGCACTGGATAACCCGGCATGGGCGACATCATAGGCTCCTGCAGAATACTTTCGATTTCTTTCCTATTTAAATGCTCAATTATCTTTTTACTTTAGATTAATTGAGTTGTAACAAGGAAGAAACTGATACCCGCAACTTTTCTTTCTTTTAGTGTAAGCTGCTTTCATCAACCAGCGCAAACATGGTGGTTCCTTAATCCTATTTCTTTGTTTACACAGTTCACAATTCTCACCCACTGGTTTCGCTTTCACTTTGACCTTGACGAAATTCTTGTGAGACATCTAACAGGTATGAGTGGAAATTCTGTCCTGCCTTTAGGAAGTAATGGAAGATGTGCAGCCATACCAAATAGAAGACTGTTTCGCAGCATACGAGCGCGCTTTTAGAAAACACCCAACTCTTGCCTCCCTCATAAAGAGCTATAGTTCTCATGCGGACCTTCGAATCCTCGAATATACGACCGTCTACCATGAATTGTTGGAACTCGGTTACGACCAAGAGATAGAGGACGACGAAACACTCGTCTCTCAAATTGCAATACATCAGCACCTGGTCCCCGAATTCTGCATTGCTCGGCTCGTCGAGTTGAAATGGGACAATTACCTCGAGGAACGTATTAGGCAGAGAATTGTGGATGAAGTCGCTTCTGCAGATAAGGTGTATTTGAAGACATGGCGCCATTTTCTCTTCTCCGATCGCGACTCCCGACCTGGAATCCTCACCAGATTGCTCAAAGGCTGTATGGCTGGGATAATGTGGCAATTTTATGTTTTCTTTTTAAGGTTCTGCGTAAATTATGTGGCTGCCAGCCCCTCTTTATTCTCGCTACATTACTTCTGAGCTTCATTTTGGCCTCATTTCTACAGGACAATAGCCACGGAGCAGATCAGAAAAAGCAGGAGATCGATAATGTGATATCGCAAATATCAAAAGTCGTGCAGGACGTAGAGTGTTCAAAGGAGGTTGCATCGATTGGCGGGAATGGTAAATCATTCGAATTGAATTCCTGGGATTTTCCGGAGCTGAACGAGGAGATGCCAACCAATCGCAATCAACGGTGGTGTTTCGACACGAGAAACAAAATGCGCAACTACTACATTGAGTTGTCGCAAGAACTGTTTTCATATAAAAAGGAGTTACAGGGTTTCAATACGCAGCTTCAAGATGCTTTCCTAAAGCTAGATGAGAACAAGAAAAAAGTAAAGAAGCCAGTAGCCTTCAACACGACACTTTTCCTGGAAGCCACAAACACCAGATTCATGGGAAGCTTGAAAGACATTTTCAAGAACATCATTCCGGAAGTTCAGAAAGAATCACCAAGGAGATGCAAACATTCGTTGACGACACCATGTCAGGATCAGATCAGAACCAGGGTACAACTTGCTCAAACCCTACTTGTATGTTCGGAAATGAATACTACAACCCGGAAGTCCTGCGAGTTATGGAAATCTCAAAACTCTTACTAGGCTTTGAAAAATTCCAGAGTCTGGCCAACAAGCTTACCGACGCCGAAAGACGGGTTGTAAAGAAAGCACTTGAGATCCGAGGGTTCGCTAGGGAAGAAAACCATCGGGCATACCTGGCACTAAGCGATTATAGAAATGTTCTCTTCAAGACACCCATTTTCCATACCATCAAACACCGGATTCGACATGGACGTGAGACATTTCCACAGTTATTGGAGGAGAATATTATAATAACCAGGAAGGCGATTCAGGATACGAATGCTGTCATAAAGTGGGACTATTTTGCCGATCCTGGTGTTGATTTTGCACCAGAGTTGACAAGGAGGCTTCGGATGCAACGGTTGCATGACCAAAGTCTTCTCCTCAAAAAGCACTCGACTACTCTTCTGGACCTCGTAACTGGAACAGCGCCAGGGTCAGCACAGTATGTTGCGAATAGTGAATCGGTTACTCGTTCAGTATTTGAACCAGACTCATGCAACTAGCTGGCGTAAAACGCTCGATGCATGCTGGCGTGGTCTACTCCAAGCTGTAGATAGTCAGACTGGTATATAGTTAGTATATTAAAGAGTTTTCAGCTAAGAATCCTGACGATATAGTATAACGACACTCTGGTTCAACATTTCTCAGAGTACCAAGAGTATTATCAACTCCTAAGAATTATGGTTATTACTTTGAACACATCCATGTCAAGACAGCTGTATTCTCAAAGTACCGCACAAGTAAATTGGTTAAACAATAGTTTGGAATAATTACCACTTTTAATTTGTTGTCACCTAATTACTTAGGACAATAAGTTAGATATGCTAGATTTATATAATGTGTATAGAGTAATAGCTAGGTCTCTTACCTCGAAAGCCACTGCGGACAATTGGACCTCAACTCTTGTTATACTGAGATCCTTTTTCCTCTTAATTCCGCAGCTCAAGTTAAACGATAGTACGAGCACAACCCTCCTACGACTTGGAAGCATACGGAAGAAATCATTAACTTGGTAAAAAGTATTCTCAGGTATGTTACAGCACGTATAGCACAGCGGACCCGGGACAGCAACAAAGGCACCAGCTTGAGGAAGAAAGGAAAGGATCGGTAAATTAGGAAACACAAAGTCTACAGTAACTCCATTTTGCTTCTTTATTGAAGGAGGATATAACTCCGACCCAGTTCATGTATCGTATGATTCCCGTCGCAATACATCTAATGCAACATGAAATCCTTATGCGTCCACTTCTCCGTCGCCTTAACCTTGGGCTTCTTCGAGAAACTAATAGGTCGTCGACTCTCCAGTTTACCTCTGACGAGAAGATTCCGATATCTATCTTTTAACAAGTTGCCTTCAGGCTTTAATAAACGCAAGGACTCCTGTAACTCATCAGGCAGAACCAACTCCAGATCTCTTTCTGGCAAAGCAATCTTGCCAAGTTTCCGTCTTCGAAGTTCAAGATCATCTCCATCGCTGCTGTCCGAATTATTGGCTTCAAGTTGTGCGAGGGCACGTGCCTGCTCCTTCTCTTTTAATGCCTTGGTGATTTTCTTGATGTTTGCCACTTCCTCATTCTTCTTTTTGATGTTTGCCTCCATCTTTGCTTGTCGCTCTGCCTCCTTCCTTCGCTTAATCTTGTTCCTCTGCACCTGCGTTTTTCTTTCTGGTCTGCTAGCATTCAATCGAACATCTTCGGCACCGCTCTCAAATCCCTCCCATGCGGAATCTTCTTCCCACTCCGACAAATCAGCTCTTGCTTCTGCCGCGTCAGCCTCCGCTGCCGACTTCAAAGACGCCTCAAGTTTGAGTTTTTCTGCTTCTACCATTTCGCGACGTTTGTTCTCAGCTTCCAACTCCTTCTCACCCTCGGCCATTAATCGCTGTTCGTAATCAGTGTATACGGGATTATAACTGAAACCACCTTCCGGTTTTTTCACGGCCGGAATATTCTTTCCACTCGCTGCTAACGAAATTGGTCTCTCCTTCAAAGATTTGGGCGCCACTTTTTTCTTGGGCTTTTCGAGAAAGGTAAATCGCGGGTCAATCTTGACCTCTTCTTCATCCCGTGCAGCATCCCATGGATCGAATGATGCCTCCTTGACTACCGCCAAAGCCTCCTCCCTCTGTCCATCCGCAATCTTTCGAAGTCTAGCAAGCTCCTTATGCGAGACATAGCTCGTCCTTTGCCGCTTGGGTTCAATAATGCCATCGGTGGTTTTCTCGACAGGGCGTTTTCGCATGGATACTGCCGGAACCAGAGATCTTTGAGCAATGATTTCGTCGGCTTTAAGCGTCTTGGGGGCCTTGATGAATTTCTTTGGAATGGCTGCGTCTCCATCGACATCAACCATGAAAAGATCCGCAGAGTCCTTTTCAACAATTACTCCTCTGCAGGGAACAATCAGCCTTGAATTGCAATGTTTCTGTTCGAGGTCCATTTCTTACCCTTTGATTATTTGTTCTCGCACCTCCTCCAGACCCTCCTGTACCTCGGTGACATCGACATTTTTCCGCCACGCTTTCTTGCCTTTTCGCGATGGTTGCTTGTGTTGTGCGGGTGCTTTGGAAGCAAGCGCCGCGCCCTTTGGCATGATAATCGGCATCTTGACGAATCTTTGGTGGAATGTGCTGCGTTGCGAGAAGTGGGAGATGCCGGGCTTGAAGAAGTCCCAAGATGATTTGAAAATTATTGAACAGCGCCAAGTTATCGGGGACGGATATTGGCAGCGGGGAAGATCCGAAGTTTATCCATGCCTTGTCCGACCACGTGAGCTGCAGCTCTTACAGCCAATCAGATATCCATGGCTGTGGGACCTCAAAGTACTTCTGGACAATGGAGGCGGAGCAAAGAGCTGCTGGCCAAGACCGACGTATGAATGCTCCTCGTCCCCTTTTACAGATTATTCACAGCCTGGCCAGATCTGTGTAATAATCGGTTTGACTTCCTCCCCAAGCTATCTGACGAGACCACGAATTTCTGTAGATACGCCATCACCTAATACCCAAACGAGCTCCTGTATTCCGCGTCCCTTAATTCCTCCAGCAACGACATCGACACCATGGCGCAAGCACCGGCTGCAGGCTCGTACAATAATCCCTTGAAGAAATTCAAGTATGTTTTCTGTGGCACCGATGGCAAGAGGCGTATGGCTAATTGCTGAATAGGCTGGTATTCCTGGGAGAGCAGAGTGGTAAGAGATCCATTCGGTGGATGAATGAGGAGCAATGCAATACTGATACCTCTTTGAAGTGGGGAAGACATCGCTCATCACACGCTTCATGTACGATTCGTTCGACAACATGTACCAAGCCACAATCGGTATCGATTTCCTCTCAAAAGTAAGCAAAGGATGGTGGATCTTGCGGGACTAGAAACTGATGGTCGGGGTAGACGATGTATTTGGAGGACAGAACCGTGCGACTACAATTGTGGGATACGGCAGGCCAGGAGAGATTCCGAAGTTTGATTCCCTCATACATCCGAGATTCTAGTGTGGCAGTGGTGGTTTATGATATTTCAAGTAAGCACCTTTATACTCAGTCAAAAAACACTCTCTAATGGCTTCGCAGACGCGAAATCATTCCAAAACACGCGAAAATGGGTTGATGATGTACGTGGCGAACGAGGAAACGATGTTATAATTGTGCTGGTGGGAAACAAGACCGATTTGAACGATAAGCGCGAGGTCACGACACAACAAGGCGAGGAAGAAGCCAAGAAGAATAACTTAATGTTTATCGAGACGAGTGCAAAGGTTGGCCATAACGTCAAGAACTTGTTCCGAAGGATAGCACAAGCCCTACCTGGTATGGAGGGGGCAGAAAGTAGTACAACAGCTGGCAACACAAGTAAGTCGTGGATCTCCGGATATTGTGGTGTACCTTCTGACATACGAACTAGTGATTGATGTCAACATCAACCCGACACCGCAAAACCAAGAAGGCTGTGCTTGCTAAACTCGGGATCGATATTTATTCTACTTCTGTTTCATAGGAAATGTTCATGGATATCGAGCATAGCGTCCGAAGGATTGATTGCATTGTATGATACCGGCACTTTTTTTGAGGGCGTACACGTTCACACTTGATAATTATATTATTGTAATATCCGCTTGCCACCCATGTTGGTTCATAGAGCATAATAGAGATGATGTTTGGCGTACGCATTCTAGCTTTTCAAGATCTCGGGCCTCATACTAAGAGCCATAGCCGAGAAACCCGGGAAATCCTCCATACTCGAGTACGTGTGGGAGGAAGTAGTCGTGACGTGTGATATGAAAGACATCGCCAATGCTTTCTATGCACCTTGAAAAGTCATTGTGCTAGAAGTCTTATTGAATCATTAATAGCTAGAAAGTTCAATTATCCTAACCCATTCGCATCATTGTTGTTTTCAGGAGATGGACGCAAAATGATGACCCGATAGATCCCTTACTACTAGATAACCAGGTACTGGCAAGAACCGAAAGCCAAAATTGCAATGACATCGCTTTTGTCTTCCTAGTCTACTCTACCTATAAAGCTATTCCCAGCTGTCATGTCATGTAAATGATGTAAATGAGGGCATGCAGGGATTGGTCTTACGTTATTTTAAGCTGCCGTACTGAAAGTGGATGCCAAGATACGGGCTCACATGAGCCTCCTGCGGCTTCGTCGGGATGGTCTTCGCTCCAACCTCTCTCACAAACAACAACGCTTCAAAGGAATTTCCGCTGCTGATTTCGACAGCGCAACTCGACTCTATTCTGATCGCAAGATGGCTCTATTACCAAGATGGTTACGTCTGGGGGTTCCGCGCCCTAGAGTACGTTGTTTCCCACCGCTCCTTACGCTCCCTTGAAAAATCGCAAACTCTTCTTGAGCACATCCTTATCCATGAGCAATGAATACTAATGAAGCCCACAGACGTTCGTCCATTTCATGAGTCTGCGGACTGGAGTAGAACTTATATCACTGTCGATGTTGTTCAACAAGCTTACCGGATTCTTCGGGCTCCTTGCCATTGTTACCGGTTTCCACATATCACCGCTTCAACTATCGATGTACCTGTACTCGGTCGCAGCGCTCGTTCTGCTTGCTTTCCTGGCACCGCATATTCGCAAGCAGAGTCCGTTCCAATGTCTGGCGCTTGCATGGCTATACATATTCGATACGGTCATCAACGCGGCTTTTACTGCGGCCTTCGCCTTTACCTGGTTTCTCGCTGTCAGCGCTAACAAATCCGGATCCTCCATACCTAGCAATGCCCCAGGCAGCGGTACTATCGAAGATACTGCTGGTTTCACGAGTCCGAAACACAACACGACCGGTGTCGAAGTTGTTGCTGCCGCTGCAAAGGGGGTCGCCGCTGGACAAGATGCCGTTGCCTATACATTGAGCGCAGCAGCCGCTAATGGGGGAGATCCTAGTGTGGTACACGGGGTTGGGGTTGAAGAGAGCATACCGAGTCTCATGCTCGTGTTAATTTTTACCTTGATCCGGGTTTACTTTATCCTGATCGTGATGGCATACGCACGACAAGTCCTCCGACAACACATGTATTCTGCCTCATCGGCCAAGTTACATCTACAGACTGATAGCGGCAATGAGTCTCCTGCCCACAATCCGTTTGCTGTTGGGTCGCACGAGGGCGAGGGTTGGAAAGGGAAGGTTGGGAGAGTCATGGTCAAAGTTGGGGAGAGCTACTGGCTTGGAGGGCAGGCTGATGATTCGTGGGTCAAGGGCGTGGACGGAAGATTCAAGACTGCAAAAACAGCAGTCGCAGGACCGCCAGGTACTCTGGAAAGAGAAAGAAGGGCTAGAAGTGGAACTGGACCACCTGTACCCAAGTTGGCCAAGAACTTCGGAAAGGTTTGAAGGCTGATTTAGAGGCTGGATTATGTCTAAAGTTGGAATGATTATCCGAGGTTGGATGTTGATTATCCCCGGATTGTACGAGTATGAGGCGGGTTCAAGCCATATGGGAACCATACGGGCCTAGATGGGCGTATTGGGTAGGATGAAGGGGGCATTTCAGGTGTATCCTATAGCCAACTAGGTGCTGGGTTGATACAGGAGTTGGTTGGGGGTACAACTACATAATGAGACTAGACTAATACATAAAGATTTACTTGAATGAAGAGTCAAAACGATCAACCGGCGACTGGCCATCGATTGAGCCGTGATAACTACAAGTCCCCCACAGGGAAGATGTCGGCTATGGATTAAGTTTGGAAAGCCGTCTGATATGCAGGGAGAGGCTATTCGGACGATCACATATACGACGCAACATAACCTCGCCTTCTCCTGCAGTACGGGAAGCTTAGGGTTACCGTACCGTGGCCGTCGTATCCGAATCATGCGATACCAGTACTGTTTCGAGTATCGCTAATCGTCTGACTCGCCCTCGGACCCTTGGAGGGTGGTGGTGGTGGCCCGTTGGCGGCTGGCCTGAGACCCGACAAAGAAATGGTAATCGGGAAGATGCATTGCGTATTGGACAGAAGGGTCTACGTAGAGAATTGCGTGCTTGTAAGCAAAGACTTCTCGCTTCCTATTCGCGGCAAATGACGTGCGCCTTTGCACACCCCACTATATCACTAAATCCACGCCACATCTGGATATGCTCTGATGCCATTTTTGACAATTGCACCCCTCCAGCAGGCGTGAAGGGCAATGGAACGGCCTGTCGTTGGCTGGAAGTACTCAATTCATTAGGAATTGTTCTTCTTTGCCGAGCTCGGAGTCGCCTGTTGATAGGTGCACCGCTCAGGACTGGGGACTAGGGATCATACTGTATCTAGAAATTTTATTGTCGCGACTACGTCTCGCCCTCGCCTTCCAATCTTCATCTTCTTCTTTTTCTCACAAGAATCTCTCCTCTCCTCTCACGAGAGAATCAGACGTCGTCGCGGGTTTGCCATTGAACTTGCAGCTATGGCGACTTCGTTGGAGATCCGTACCCCAGGCGAAGCTGGTATGTACTTGTATTGATTAACGCCTGCGTTGATCCCCACCCTCTGTCTTAAGGGCATCCGCATAACCCCGCGTCGCACGGAATTCGTACTGGATGACACTTTTGCTAATGGTCTGGTGCTGTATATAGTGGCACGAATTGCATATCTGTCCAGCGACGTCATTGTCTCGGTGCAGGCAGCTCAGTCAATTGAATCGGAATTCTCCTCCCATTTAAAAAGATATGCTGGACGAGGCGATCAAAGTCTTGTGGCAGCCACCGAAAATCGTGTGCCTGAAGTTCGTTAGGAAAATGCCACCCTAAAATTGTCACAAACTGATCTTCTGGGCAGATTCAAACAGTGAGACACAATGCTGATCCGCTACTTTCCGTGTTTGCTCCAATTCGAAATGGCAAACTCGTTGCAGTCACTACAAGTTCTTCAATCCTCGTCTCCTCGGTTCCTCATTTATATAGACTCGCAAACCTACCAGTGGTCATCCACGTCTCTTTGCAGCCCGCCCAATATCCAGATTATTCTTCAATTACGTCCATTCGAAATTCCGGATTTACCTTTCTCCAATCAGAGACTCTGCAGGAGGCACAAGATATCGCCTTGACGGCACATGCCTTGGCTATCAAATCAGGAAAGGGTGTAATACATTTCTTCAGTGCTGGAACTTCAGCTAAGGACCCTTTTATCCCTTTCGAAGATACCCAGGTCGCGGGCCAAGTTCTCAATTTAGATGTGGTTAGAAAGTTCCAAGGTAGCAAAATTGGTGGAACGAGTATATATGCAGATGAAGGAAGGGTGGTAACCATTACCGAGACCCAGAGCGCCGAGCCGGGGGCGATGGAGGGGGTGGAAGCTACAACCCCGTCAATCCAGCGAATCACCTCCGAGATACCATCAAAAGCATCTTCTGTGGGCTCGTCGAAATCAGATAGAGCGAGCAGTATTGAGAGCAAGGAGTCGGTCTCTTCTGCAACAACCGTTGAACAAACCACAGTTCGCCCAGCCAACTCGGATGATATCTACAATTTCGTATCCAGTATTTGGGCCGAGCTCAAGCAACACGTTGGACGAGAGTACACACCTTTTCATTACTCTGGCCCTTCAAATGCAGAAGAGGCGCTTGTCGTTTTTGGCTCAGATGTAGGAGCTTTCGCATCAGTAATCGATGCTGCAAAGCCAGGCGAGGTCTATGCAAAAGTTGGTATCATTACGGCTCGATTATACAGGCCGTGGCTAGGAACAAAGTTAGTTGCGGCAATTCCAAAATCTATTAAACGATTGGCAGTTCTTGAACAAATCCGGAGAAAAACTACCAAATGGGGACCTTTACTATTGGATTTCCTCACTACACTCAAATCTGGACCTGCAGGCGGAGTCGAGACTATTGTTGGTCACCAATTAGGCTATATTGCACCAGATGCTATTCCACAGGCTTTACGTGGTGTTCTCCAAAATCTGACGTCGGAAAAGCCAATTCAAAATCTTGGAGTAGGGAAATCAGAAGGTCCTTCAGAAATGGAGGATTCGTATGATTTATCACAGCCTAAAGTTGAATCAGCATACATGAAAATTTTGGACCAGATTTTTGGGCAGCGATTATATTTGGCTAACGCACTTGATTCACAAAATACCGGAATCTCCGCTTCAATTTCATCAAATCCCGAGTTTGGATTCGGGTCATTGGTGGCTAGAAAAGAGAGTCGACAACGATTAATTGGCGAAATACAGACTGCCGTGAACTCAAACTCCTTTGATCAGGAAGCAAAGGCTTTATTCACCAAGTGGGGATCGACTGCTGGGAATGGAAATGAATCGACTGAAGTTGCTGAAGAAGTCATCGCTTTACTCGAGAAAGATGGGTCTGCCAAATCGAAAGAGCTGCTTTCTAACAAAGGATTATTCAGAAAGGAATCTCCTTGGCTCGTGGGATCAGATGCTTGGGCATACGACCTCGGCAACTCTGGTGTTCATCATGTTATCGCGTCTGGAGAGAATGTAAACATGCTCATCATTGACTCTAGCCCTTACTCTGAGAGATCAGCGGCAGACGCTGCCAGGCGGAAAAAAGATATTGGTCTCTATGCCATGAACTATGGGAACTCATATGTTGCATCCGTTGCTGTTTACAGCTCATATACTCAGGTTTTGCAAGCAATGATTGAGGCTGACCAATTCGATGGTCCCTCAGTTGTCGTAGCATACCTTCCATATTTCAAGGAGATTGATTCCCCTCTAACCGTCCTCCAAGAGACGAAGAAGGCCGTGGATCTTGGTTACTGGCCACTTTACAGATGGAACCCTCAAAATGAGTCTCGCGGAGAGCCAAACTTCTCGCTGGATTCTGAGCGGATAAAGAATGAGCTCAAGGCTTTCTTGGCTCGGGACAACCACCTCACGCAGTTGATGAAGAGACATCCCGAATCTTCTTCTAATTTAGCACAGGATTACGGAACTGAGGTTCGAGCACTTCAAAAGCGCAACGCCAAAGATGCTTATGCTCAACTTCTCGAGGGGCTTTTTGGTGCACCATTGACCGTTCTCTTTGCTTCCGATAATGGGAATGCTGAGTCGCTGGCCAAGAGACTGGGAAATCGTGGCAGAGCTCGTGGGCTGAAAACAATTGTGATGGCCATGGAGGACTATCCAATCGAGGACCTTCCTACCGAAGAGAATATTGTCATTCTTTCAAGTACAGCAGGCCAGGGTGAGTTTCCTCAAAATGGACGTGCTTTTTGGGACGCTATCAAAGACAATACCGATTTGGATCTATCAAATGTCAACTTTTCCATCTTTGCCCTTGGTGACAGCCATTACTGGCCTCGCAAGGAAGACAAGCACTATTACAACAAGCCAGGAAAGGACCTTGATCGCGTTATGGCAAATCTTGGCGGGAAGAGATTAGCAGAAATTGGTCTCGGTGATGATCAGGATCCTGATGGTTACCAGACCGGTTACCAGGTCTGGGAACCTATAGTCTGGGCAGCTCTTGGTGTTGATAAGGTTGAGGGTCTACCGGAAGAGCCACGTAAGTATCAAAATGCCTTCTTCTGAAGTTGATGATCACTGAGCTTGTCACTAACGTATTGCAGCTCCAATTACCAATGAGGACATCAAACTAGCCTCAGACTTTCTACGCGGAACCATCGAGGAGGGGTTGCAAGACACAACTACGGGTGCCATCTCCGCAGCCGATCAGCAATTGACCAAGTTCCACGGCACCTATATGCAAGATGACCGGGATCTTCGCGACGAGCGTAAAGCACAAGGTCTTGAGCCAGCATACTCTTTCATGATCCGATGCAGGCTACCTGGTGGTGTTGCAACCCCATTGCAGTGGATTCAGATGGACGACATCAGCAACAACTTTGGAAACGAGACCATGAAGCTGACCACCCGTCAGACTTTTCAATTCCATGGAGTTGTCAAGACAAAGCTCAAGTCTGCTATGAGAGGTATTAACCAATCTTTGATGACAACTATCGCTGCTTGTGGCGATGTCAACCGAAATGTCATGTGCAGTAGTTTGCCAACCGCTTCCAAATATCATCGCGAAGTTTATGCTTCCTCGGCGAAGATATCAGATCACTTATTACCATCTACAACTGCATATCACGAGATTTGGCTTAAAGATGAAAACGATAAGAAGACTCAGGTTGCTGGCGACGCTGTTCAAGATTTCGAACCTCTCTACGGTCCTACTTATCTTCCCAGAAAGTTCAAGATCACAATTGCCATTCCACCACATAACGATACCGATGTCTACGCTCATGATATTGGTCTCATCGCTATCAAGGGGAAAGATGGCCACCTTGCTGGTTTCAATCTCCTCGCTGGTGGTGGTATGGGTGTTACGCACAACAACAAGAAGACTTATCCACGTACTGGAAGCACGCTTGGATTTGTATCCACTGATCAAGTTCATATTGCTTGTGAAAAGGTCATGCTTGTTCAGCGTGATTTTGGCGATCGTAAGAACCGAAAACATGCTCGCCTAAAGTACACCATTGATGACATGGGAGTTGACGTGTTCCGAGGTAAGGTTGAAGACTTGTGGGGCCAGAAATTCGAGAAGCCAAAGGCCTTCAAGTTTCAAAGCAATATCGATACTTTTGGATGGCAAAAGGATGAAGTTGGTTTGAACCACTTCACGTTCTTCGTCGAGAATGGCCGTATTGAAGATACTGCTGATTTCCCCATGAAGACTGGTCTTCGCGAGATTGCCAAGGTCCACAAAGGAGAGTTCAGATTGACGGGTAATCAACACTTGATTTTAAGTAATGTTGAGGATGCCGACATGCCGGAAATGAAGAAGATGATGGCCAAGTACAAGCTTGATAATTATCAGTTCTCAGGCCTTCGTCTTTCCTCGTCGGCATGTGTTGCTTTCCCTACTTGTGGTCTGGCAATGGCAGAGAGTGAGCGCTATCTTCCAGTGCTCATCTCCAAACTGGAGGGAGTTATTGAAGAGAACGGCATGAGACAAGATTCAATTGTCATGAGAATGACGGGTTGCCCCAACGGTTGCGCTCGCCCTTGGTTAGCAGAAGTGGCATTTGTAGGAAAAGCATTTGGAGCTTATAACATGTATCTTGGCGGAGGCTACCATGGTCAACGTCTGAACAAGCTCTATCGAAGCAGCATCAAGGAAGATGAGATTCTCGACATCATGAAGCCGTTATTGAAGCGGTATTCGTTGGAGCGTAATAAGGATGAGCATTTTGGGGATTTCTGCATTCGGATTGGTATGATTAAGGAGACGACCGAAGGGAAGAATTTCCATGACCATGTAAGTTTTTAGATCTATCTCCATTTTTTGAGCGTGGTTTACTAACGGGTTTTTCTAGGTTGCTGAAGAGGAATCTGATGAGGAATGATTGATTGAATTTGGGATTTGGGCATTTTCTTTTCTCTTTCTGTTTTCTACATGATATCGTGGCACGGTAAGCGTATATATTGGCGTTTCGACGGTGGGATGACGATGACCTCTGTATATTCAATGGATCTTCAAAATTTGTGATTATTTTACATACTACTGACCTTACTTCGATTCCTTTCGCCCTTTGAGCTTCTTTCTGATTGTTGTGGTTCGAATTGAGGAAGAGTATATATGTGGGAAGTGTGGTCTTGACTGTTTGAATCTGGCACTGAGGATTAAGCGAGAAAAGTTGTAGATAGAAGGCGGCCTAGATGACCAGGAACTCCATATCATCTCGAAGATTAAGAGGTTAAGGTTAGTGCGTGATGTACTTGACATGGGTTTTTATTTTATTTGTAAGTTAAAATCCAGATTCAGATCCAAATCCTAGATAGAGATAGAGAGTTCTGTATAGTCTATAGAAGTAGTGTATGTAGAACACCAACAGCAGACCAAGACCAAGTTTTTCACTACACAATATATGCAAAGTATTCCTTGAAGGATTATGGTTACATGAGGTGAGGTAAGGTGATGTTGCTTTGCTAGATATTACCAACTTACCACACCCATCTGGTCCAATCCAACAATTCTCCTTTGTTTATTACTACTCCTGTCCAATCATGGCTCGCTTATTCCACCTATTACGGAGGTAGATGGGAGGTGAATCTTAGTCTTTAGACCTACCTAGTACCAAGCTTGACTACGATGTGCAATACCATTATATATTCACTCCTCCCCTACTTTTACACGTACGGAGAGAGCCCCTCTACCCTCCGTGGACAATCGAAATAAAACAAAACAATAGACTAACGCAGTATCTCCGCTTAACACCACATCCTCTTCATCAAGGGGTTTCCTTAAATCAATTCATAGGTTCTTTTCTCACAAATCGTAGCCCTGTACCTATTCTCTCGTTTAATTACATATCCAGATCTCACTTCTATCTATAAATCCAGATTCAAGTATAATATACTAAACTAAAAGAGAACCGGGAATGAAAATGAGAGGGGGATAAATAATTCCAGCTACTCTGTTTCGTATGTGTTTAGTGGAAACTTATAGAGTCCACCATCGTGTATTGGGTATCGTAAAACTCAAATGTAAATCATTTGTTCGTTTTAACTATTTCAACTATAAGATAAACCACACACCAAATTATATGCAAGAAATTGTAAACAAATCCATCAAGACATCAACACCCGTACCCATCCCCACCCCAACCCCCAAGCCAGTCCAGACCATTTAACGCCAGAAGCCAACTAGAATAGGTAGCCTTACTTTTAACAACACTCAGCCCCACTACCAGTAACCACAAGCTTCGACATCTTATCCGCAGCATCAAGCACCTGACTCTTACCTGCGATTTGAGAAGGTGTGCTGCAATAACTGGGTGGAACATCCAATGCGGGGTTTCTAACGAAGAAGTTTCTTGGTCGCAGCAGAAGTGTCATCGGTTCCGCAGGCATAATTGGGAAATCTTCTGGGGCGGGGAAATGCGTGATACCAAAAGTGTGCCACAGAACAACATCGGTGTTTTCAATCGAGGCCTCACCATTGGCGATCCACTCTGGCATACCCTTGGAAGGCTCACCAGATGTTTGGGGCACATGGCGACCGGCTGGGTATAGTTGCTTGTCGTCATCTGGAAGTGGTCAGCTATACTCTCAACAATGGCGTCGTATTACTTACATTGTGTGACGTGAACAGCGTGTCTTGCGAAGCCTGCTCGTTTCCAAACCAGGGAACCTTCCTTGGGTAACAAGCCAGGTACCTCTCTACTAACCAATTTGTAGCTTACTGGCTTGTGACTGTATGGGTTGAGTTTGTTGGTGTTGCACATATCCCAGGTCCGGGAGGTAGCACCGTTGTAATCACTGGTTGCCTGTTTCACTTTGGTGTACTTGGTTCTCTCTGCATAGAAAGCGTTGCCAAATGGATTCTCCTTGCTTCCAACAGCGCCAGCTCCTGGGGTTGCGTCAACCTGGAAGATTGTATTGTTTGGTCCATCAATATTAGGATCAATTCGCAGACAGAAAAGATGCTGATGGTTGTGAGCGTTTACTCCGGGGTAAACTTCAGTTCCCCAGCCCTTGGTATCTTCACCTGGGTTCATTGCATAGGTGTTCAGGATACCTGTAAGCTTGATCTCAAGCTGAACAGTACCGTCCTGATGGAAAATCCAGTACACGCAGTATTCATAGTTGGCAGCTGTGAAGATGTGTGAAATGATGAGCTTGCGTCCACGAGTTACTATGCAGGAGTCGTCTCGGAAATCAGTATGCTTGAACAATATCCCTGCATCTTCTTCGTGGATGCAAATAGCATTCTTGATGGTAGTGCTATCTCCTGCACGATTGACAAACGCTGCGTCCATATAATGAATGGCACCCTTGCAATCACAGCCCAGTGATAGACTGTTGGTCATGTATCCTCCGCCATATTCGCCAAGATCGAATGCATGCTTTCTCTGATGCGGATGTTCGGGGTTACCATAAGGAACAACCATCTCAGCAAGAGACAGTCTGTAGAAGATCGGCCGAACGGTTCCCTTGTCGTTGTATGTAATGTTGTTGAGCACAATTCCCTCCTTGTAGTTGAATCCTACGTGAACCTTCCAATTCTGCCAGTCGATAACCCTTCCCTCGACTTTGAATGAAACTCCTTCGGGCTGCGTAATATTGATAGGCTTGGTGTCCTTTCGGTATCCTCCCTCCTTCTGAATTGCATCAACATGGTAATTATTGGGCTTTGCTTTGCTAACAGGCCGGCGGATTTCTGGGATATCAATGTGGATGATTTCTCGCTTTCCGGCGTCGAAAATTGGGCAAAAGTCAAGGGGGAAGGAGTATTGACTATCATCAATATGTGGTCGGTAGTACATGAGTGCTTGCTGCAATCGAACATCAGAGCCAAATCTGTGGTCATAACCGATAGTCCATGCTACGATAGTTAGAACAAGCTTTGCACAGATCTTGGGAGAGCTTGGAAAACTCACGATCGCAGAAAACTTTATGCATATCTTCTGCGGGTACTCCACTAATCACACATTGTTCGATAACTTTGGGGTCTTTTCGACAGACGTGCTCAACAATCTGTAAATCTTCCATTGTGATCTGCTTCAGTTAGTCCCAAGCTACCAGTAGAAATATCTGATTTTGGGAATGAAGACCCACCAGAGGCTGCACACCATCCAAAGACTCCCATTTGATGATCTTCCCTGTCTGCAGGTTTACCCAACCATCTACAACCTTCCCACCAGGCGCAATTACAACAACATCCGCGATTCGGGTCGGTAGAGGCAGCTTTTGATTCTCAAGCCACTTCAGCATTTCCTTTTTAGGCGGTTCCTTGAGAGTAATGGCATTATAGTGCAGCTTGCCATGTTCCTTTCGAATTATCGAGACAGCAGACTCGATTTCGGCATTTGAGAGGGGATCAAAAGGATGGGGAGGAGGTGTGTTTCCAGTGAAATGCTGGGTGACGGACTTGAGTCTGTCGAGGGCCATCTTGAGAGCTGAATGCAGTTCGGAAAGCAAGTGTATACAGAAGGGAAACGGATATGGTTAGCTGGAGAAGGGAGGTCAGTAGAGATATATAGGTATAGCAAAGAGGAGGGGAGGGGACTTGATGTATCAATCGGGATAAGAGACACAGCAGAGCAGGGAGAAAGTGGGATAAAACCGAGATTCAATTGACTCTGTGAAGCTTTGAACGAGTCTGTATGGCGCCAGGAGGTATTACGCCCAATTGGCCCATCATACAGCTCCCAATTGATGCCGCTTCCAAAACAGTGTCACCGTCTAGCTCATTGCTGGCGTGCGGGGGAGAAAGGCGGGTCTGGAAAGCAGTGCACGATAAGGGACCTGTTCACTTGATTGGGACTAGCTTGCCAAGTGGGGTCGATGGCTCTCCATGTTGTCCGCTTCGAGTATGACAATCCATAACATGAAATTCAGATACGCCGATAGAAAATGAATATAGGTCATACATTTCCATTCCAGGTTTGTGTGCAGAATACTCATAAATTATGAGTAACAGCAGAGATGCCACGATACGGCCAAAGTCCTACGAGTACTGAATCCCGAATCCCGGTAACGGAGCTGCCCTTGGAATACCCACAAATCCTTCGTTATGGTCTCTAGAGAAGAAAAGTGCGGTGTGGATGAGCTTGCGAGGATTGAAAGAAGAGCAAAAACTTGAATCCATAATTTTCTTGGAATGATTAAGTGGTGTGGTCAACGCAAGCAATGACCATATCTCTCCCCAGCTCACGATATCAAGTTGTCAACCCAACTATCTCATGACAATTTGAGAAACAAGAGACCGTCCATTGGAGGAATGAATACCAGTTGGTAAACATGGTGAATAGGAGGCATCTTACTAACTTCTCTACAGCCATCCGATCACATCGCAACGCCCACCCATCGTAGCCAAGACCGACGATAGACAAGAAAATAGCAGTAAGAGACACTCTTCGTTGGATTTACTTCTTAGATAAACCTTGAGAAGTAGAACGGTGACATGATCTACTTACTGCCAATTTCTCGTCCACCGTGGAAATCACTCCATTAAAAGGAAAATATTTCATTTCAGCCGGAAAGAGCCAATAAGTTCCGTTTTTCCCACACCTGCTCTTTCGGCTCGTCCAACCCCTTATCAAATACTACCAACAGTCATTCTTGATTTTCTCACTCCCATTATTCACAAAATACAAACACCTCAAACCTTCAAAAAGCTATTAAATCTGTCTTGTTCAAGAGCAGAAGGGAGGGCTGAGAAGATCAACATTATCATTCATCTACAGAGAATCCAAACATCTCCCTAAACATCTTAACCCCTATGCTCCCACTCCTATTCATTTTCATAAACCTGTTTCTCTTCTTCTCCCTTTTTCCTTCTTTTTTTTTCCAATACCATATTCAACTTGTTCCTATTTCAACGAGAAATTCGGTTTCAAACGGTCCGCGGGGAGAGGAAAGAAATAGTCTTGATAAACAGAAGAGAAGTTAGTGAGAAGTGGGAAGAAAAAGTGTATTTGTTGGAAGCGGAGGTGATATTGACTTGTCATATAAAATGGTTCACGCCTACAGAATTCTTGGCAGCGAGTAATCGCTCCTTCCAGCTACAACATTCAAAGAGCAAATGCATTCAGAATGGGTAGTTTTAAAGTGGCCAGGCTCTCGAATGGTCGCGCCTTCCTCTTCGAAATCCAACCCCCACACAAATAAAACCCGTCTCAGCAAGGTTCTCTTTGATCTGTGTCCGTCGACTCGATTCTTACAGATGGCATCAAGCGACTTCGCAAGAGCATATCCTTGAACATCTTCTCTATAAAGGCTTATTCCGCCTTGTTCGGGACACATGATCAAGTACAGAACTTTACTTTCAGTCTAACACATCCAGGCAGATATATGGCGAATTGTAACATTAGTCCAATACCTTCTGATGAATGGGGTGTGGATTGGTTGCTCAATCTGACATTGTCAGATAGCTAGTACTGTAAGCTGGGTTTCCTGGAAAGTGCATGCGTGCGTCCCATGCGGAAGCCACTGAACGGCATTAACTATTATATAACCACAACTGCAAACAGGTACCAATTTCGTATTCTAGTTTATCAATACATTTCTGCCGGTGAATCTTAAGATACTTCACCACTTCAAACTAAAAGTCTTCCATTGGTCCAACCAAACTCCTACAAGTTGTTTGAAGCAGACCTGGGCACGATAATAACGTTTCGATATCGGCGGGTCCACGATAAAATATCGATATCGTCAATATGGTGACGATAATCGATAAGTTATCGATAATCGTCACACGTGACGTGGAGAAATGGTAGATCTGGCCCCGGACCAATCAGAAGGCTTTATTCTTAGAAACTCCTTAGCTCCGTAGGCCTTTATACGTAACAACACCACGACTAACATCACCACTAATATCATCAAAACGTTCTAAATTCAACCAAAAATGCCACCACTTGATTCCACACCTGCCCTCCCTCGCAGAAACCCTCCTCTAGGTCGCGATATATCACTAAAACGCTAGTATAGAATTAATTATCTTTGTTATATACTATTTTTGTAGTGTTTTCGTTATCTTTTTATCCCTTAAATAATCGTATTTCTACTTTAAATTCACCCTGAAAACCCCCTAAAAAGACCCCAAAAAGACCCCCAAAAATGCGAATTTTAGGTACAAGATATCGATTATCGTCACTTTTCAGACGATAATTATAGGTATCGTAGGAATAATTTATCGCGATAGTACGATAATTATCGTCATCGTGCCCAGGTCTGATTTGAAGGTTTCATCGAATAACGCGAACGATTGAAGTTCTATATATGCTGAAATATCTTGACGAAGACACGAAATAGCTCTTCGATAGCCCGGAAATTCACACGGTCTGGTTGGATCTCGATATTCGTAGGTCAATTGCTGTCACTCGCTTAATTTTGCCTTGGCCAAAAGATACTAATAAGAAAACGAAGCAAAAAAACCCCTATTTGAGGTTGAAGAGCATTGAAGTTAGAGAAATGGTGGTTGTGGTTTGGACTGTATTCTATGTCCAAGTTTATATACTCCCAGGTTACAGCATTCGCAGATACAGATCAAGCGGAATCATACAACACCTTTGCAAAGCAGGCAACAACTTAATCCGCCCTCTAGTTGCAAACCCCAATGAGACACTTCTACCAAGTATCTCTCAAATAAAGAGGGGGATACCGAGTACAGTATTCAGAATATATTCATCCCCCTCGTTTTATATACAAGAAAGCAGATAATTTTCCCTTATGTACAAAAACTCCAATCATGCTATGAACGCTAGCAAATGTTGGGTCCGTCAGTTAACGCCTTGGCCACACTAATTGCTACAACCTCATGTACGGCCGATGTAGGATGTAAATTATTCAACCAGAAGTACTGATTTACCGCCACGCCACAAGCGGGAATCAAAGTATCTTGCTTAGGCGTACCACTACGATAATCATTAGCTTGCCAAACCTTTCACTTCCCATTTCCCACCCATCCCATATCGAAAAAGAGAGAACATCAGAACAACTCACTTTGCATAATCCGCACAAAAGCCCGTCGTATTCTTCAAACCCGCCGTCTCCTTAAACGCAGTCGGGGTATCCATCGCCTTATTAAAGATCTCACTCGTATCCACAGTAAAAACATTCGTATCCGCCTTCTCCTTCTTAAACCCCTTCACCAACTCGGTCAAATTCCCATTCCACACCGCAACCGCATCCTTCTCCGTCTTCTGCTGCTCCGGCGAGTTGGTCAGCGCCAACGGACTGCGATCCACGGGGGGTGTAGTCAAGAACGCAAAGTTCCTCGCACCCGCCTCGTACAAGGTATCCAACTGCTTCCTCCAAACCGCGAAGATCTTTGTCCACAGCGCGGCCCGCTCTTGTTCGGGCATATACCACGTGTTTCCTACATCGTTCACGCCGTCCCAGAATAGGAACACCGAGTCCTCGCTTTTCCACGGCGCGCTCGCGGGTTTGGAACTATATGTTTTGGACCACACTTTGGAGACTTGGTCGTTGACGCAGATTACCGTTGGCGCGTAGGGTTCTACGAGTGTGCAGTCTATCATGGCCCCTCCCGAGGCGACGTTGTAGGTCAGTAGCTGCGAGGCGTTTTTGGTCGCTGTTAGGTAGCCGATCCAGTTTGGTGCGTTGTTGGAGGATGTGTAGCCTGGGAAGGGGGGATTGCCGATGGGGTTCTCGGCTGAGGGTTGCTTGTCGTTTTCGTTGAAGCCGGTTTGGGTGTAGGAATCTCCGCTGGTGGGAAGTTAGTTGATGTTTCTTCTTTTTGTTCTCGCTAGCGCTTTTCTGGGTTGTATAGTCCAGAGTTGGAGTTATTATATAGGAGGAAGAGGAGGGAAACAGACAATGAGAAGAGATATTTTATTTTTGCAAAGCCTGGGTAGTCTTTCGTTGCAGTACAATTTGCTGGTGCTCGCTTAGTCACAGTTCCTTGAATGGAAGCTGTGAAGAGGAGGAGGGCTGCTGCTGCAGATAGCATTGTGGAGTGCATGGTGGAGTGCATGGTGGAGTGCATGGTGGAGTGCATGGTGGTTCCAACTATGCAACCTCTTGCAAAAAGAACGTAGATTTAAAATAAGAATCGAAAAAGCCGAAAGCCCGTCAAAAGCGTAAAAGAGAAGGGAGTACATCACGATATATACCTCCCGTCAACCCGTCAAGCCAAATGAAACCCCCTCAATATCTCAAACACCACCCAAATACCCCCCCGGAATCAACCCCTCCGACCCCCTCCCGCAAATCAGACAAAATGCAAGAAAAAAAGCTTAACATGGGAATCTGAAAGCGTGGTGTGGAGGGGGGAAAAGCCACCGACACACATCAGATTATCCGCGAATTGGTAGATTCGCTTGCTCGCTTGTCCTTTCTGCATGTTGTTTTACCCCAAAGGATAAATATGGGATCCTGGGGAAAATCTGGGGAGCGGACAAGGATCGAGACCCGATGATCCGATGCAGCATAACGGTATGCGAACGCTTGTTCCCGATGGCTGAGATGGACCGTCGGAGGACGGGTAGAGGATGCGTGTCAGGTAGGGAAATTAAGGCTCGTGAATACTCCGGTGGTTATTTCCCTCATAGATATTTGGGTAGGAGGAGGTGAAGAAATTGCGTGTTGTGGATTGATGGGTTGAGGTTCGCTTGTGTCGGGTTAACCTTCGGCTTGAGATGAGATGCAACTTCTGTGCTGTATAGTATAGTACAGTACTGACATCGTAAAGCGAAGAACTGACGTTGATTTCGTCAATTTCGCTTGAAACTAGAACCTGCTCGTATAATATAGTCTACCGTAACAAGCCGGCGTGGTATGTCCTTCGTGACTGAATAGCTCAATAGATCGCGAATTGACACAATTCCCGCAATCTTACATCATCATCTAGTACTATACCGATTCAATGGAGATAAAGTTTCGATGTAAAGTACTGTAAGAGATTGAACTAAAGCAGTCCAACAACGCCTGATGTTTCCTCGGTACTGTACTTATCGTATGCTTGGGATGATTTATGGTTTTTATGCTTATTCTGAGACTGTACCTGCGAGACTTTCATCCCATCTTTCTCCTCTCTCATCTTTTCCTTTTTTCTTAAGAACAAGTCCTACTCTTAAAATCTCCTATCCTCCCACAAAACTCCTCATCTCCCTCCTCCCTTCATCCCTTTGCCCCTTCATCCCTCCTTCGCTAAATCAGAACCAAAGAACCTCCCTTTCCCCTTTCCCCCTTCCTCCCTTCCCCCTTCTTCTAACCAAGTTGAAGCCTCCTATCCACGATCTTTATCTCTACCCTCTTCAGCAACACCCACTCCAGCAACACCCCCTCCAATACCCCACAATCCCAAGTTCCCAACTAAAACTCCACATAAAGTCAGACCCTAAGAAACGAGCCAAACAAAACAGCCATTACAGACACCAGAGAAGTAACATCCAGACACCTTGATAATGAGAGGCAACTTTGTTCTATACAAAAGAGAAGACTACCAAAGAACGAACGCTTCACAAGAGATAAAATAGCAAACAACCTTACACCCCTTCCCTCTACCTTCTATCTCCATCTCCTTCCCCACCCACAAACCACCATATCCATATACAACATCCCCTTCCTCATCTCATCCCATAATACCCTATTTATTCACAGTACTCTATACAATTATACAATTACACGATCATTGCCGGAGAATCCAAGCCAAAAAACCCACAAACCGAAAATCCCCATAAAATTCCTTCCAAACATTTCATTCCCTCAGGCCAATGAATGATACAAGATACACAAGCTTTCTCAAGACCGAAAATCTTTGCGGGGAAATAAATGGTGACGAAAGGAGGCGTCAATGTGGCTGAGTTTGTTGGATGGGCGGGCTTCTCTCGTATGTCTTGTACGTACATACCGTGCCGAAAACTCAACTCTATTCATACTACATCCTAGCGTGCAAACCATTACATCTCATGTAGGCGATTCAGGTCAGGAAAATGTTATACGTTTGAAGGCACTTGTATTTACTATATTCTGCATTTCATGCCAAGGCCAGCAATACAATTCTCCATCTTCTCCCCCATGAAAAGATCCCACTGGATCATCGAATTCGTTGTGCTCCTCATCATATTAGGTATCTCTTATGCGCTCCTGTTCTCTCCTGTGATATTACTTCCACTCACATGCTGTTACCGATTGAAAGACCGGCAATCGCAAATGCGTCAACCTGAAACACCAATGCTGGAAAAAAAAAGATGATACGCCGAAAAACAAAATACAATATTCACAAATGTCCCCCAAGGAAGTTTTCAAAACCACCAATACACCCTTTGCACCCAATTCCCGTTGTTATCCCGCGCGATCCGAAAGTTGTCAGGCACTTCGTTTATAGAAGGCCGAGGGCGGCAACACCGGCAGCGAGGAAACCAGAAGCAAGATCTCGGGCGCTGATGGCAGTTGGGGCAGCAGCGGCCGCGGAGCTACTGGAGGCGACGGCGGGGGTAGCGGCTGGAGGAGGTGCGGTTGCACTTGGAGCAGCAGAGCTGGTGGAGGCAGGTTCAACATATTTGGATGGATCGAGGGTTCCGCAATTGGCGGTACGGGCATCAGTGCAGAGCTTCTGAGCTTGTGCGTTGTTTTGACCAGCCTGGATACACTCGTCGAAGATCTGCTGGCAGATGAAGGTTGGCATGGTAGAGGTGTAGTACATGAGACCTGGAGCGCTGCCGTTTCTGCAGGTGCAGTCAATGTCGAGGGTATTCTATACGAGAAAAGTCAGCATGGTTTGTTGCGCGGGGTCAGTGATTCAATTCTGTAGTTGAGATACCGGCAGAAGGTATAGGAATGGGGATTGAACTTACAACATCGCAGTCATTAGACTTTGTTTTTGCTTGACCACCGCAAAGGACGGGACAAGTGTTTTGTTGACCGGCACACCATTGTGCTACGGAAAGTACGGTTAGTGATTTTCTTCCAATTCGGTGGCAGGAGATGAAGCGGAAGGGAAGTAGATCGACTCACCTCGGATTGTTGCAGAAACACTGGTTGGCACGATGGTTGAGTTTGCGGTGGTTTGTGCAGCAGCAGAGCCGGCGAGAAGCGCGACTGCGACGATGGACTTTGCGAACATCTTGACTTTTGTGTATGGGAGGACGGAGAGATGTCGAGGAGGTGAGGAGATCAAAAAGTCTTGGGAATTGATATGTGCAAGTGGAGATGTTGGAGTGGGAGTGGGAGTGGGAGAGAAATCAAAGGCGCGGATGAAGAATTTGAGAGGGAGAAGAGCAGAAGGGGAAATGATGAAGCAGTTGTGGTCACGATGCGGGCGGAGTGGGGATTGTTACGGCAACAGCGAGCGACAATTCACATCCGCACCTTCTCCGTATGCACAAGCACTCACTCTCAGTCTCTCACCGGAGCTAGCGCCACATAGCGAACCCTTTCCCCTGGATTTTTGATTGACGCGCCCCGCTATCAGGAGATTCAACCAATGACAGCCCCCAATTACCTGTGCCAAGACTTCTATCAATCAACATGACCCACTCGCCCGCTGCCACAACAACTCCCATGCAAATCGCGTCTCGCCTTTTCCAAGAGACGAGAAGAGGACGATGCTTCCGTTGGTGAAGCTATTCTCGGCTGAAGCTGTCATGCCCGAGCAATCTCAGTCTTCGTGTCCTTCATTCCCAATTTCTTAGAAGTACAAAGTAAAATGCGTAGCTAGGGAATGGACACCACGACCACCAGACTTTTTTTGCATCGAATCCCTCATAAACAGGTCATGTCCGCCTCTCCGTCCCTTGCCGACGAGTACCCAATTTTATGGTGCTTAAACTCCTTATCACACAAGGACATGCCGAACAACGTGGCCGTGACTTTGAAGATCGCCGAGTCCATCCTACGCAGTGATCTGTTTGAAAGAGGTTTCCCTCTCATCCCATCAATCCCTCTGTTTCGACAAAACACGGCGACCGAGTTCACACCTTAGTCTGGTTTTGGAAAGGACAACACCATAGCGTCGGCATAAAGCATTTACTTGATGTTGGTGTGTTTCTTTTTCGAGATTCGTACAACCGTGCCGTGCTACCGGTAACTACGGCGCATACACCTTCTTCTGGTACGTGGACCATCTGGGACTCTATTTGGACTAGTGGTTTGACTTTATCCGAGATTCGAGATCGTGTCACCTGAAATACAGAGGCTCGAAATAAAGTGTCAGAGTTTCAGGGGGAATGTTTTTATAATTATTTATAAGGATCAACCGTTGCCCTAATAGCAACTCATTTGCATCCTCCAAGGGGACCTCGGTTCAGATCTGAGCTGGCACAGGGAGGCAAGTCATATGACACATCATGTGATTTATCATTTGGTCCAGAACCAACCTCATGATGTCGTTGCATGTATCTCCACTTTTATATCGCGGATGGATGAAGCCGACCAGTAAGACTTTCAGTTGGGGAAGTCCTCAACCAGTCATAGACCATCGATTTCCGCCCAACCGCCTACTCATTTGCCTCTTTGGGCTTCCGGGCGCTGTTCAAGTGGGGTCTCTGATTGTGTAGTTGACCAGTCGAGCCAGTCAACGCCTGGCATGATACTGTAGATGCAGAAATCCATCACCGACAGCAAAACATGGTCATGACCTACATGCTTCTTCGTATCCATGATGCTCTATCGGATATCTTCATCCTTTGATTTATACCTTTTGAAAATGTCCTCGATCTCTGTACATTCGTTCATATAATTGTTTTGATTTCTGTCATCCTTCTACATCGTCCCGGATGCCATTTTATGGTTTCTGATCCACCATGGCCGATCTGAGCCTTGAGGCGGGGATCGATTCCTTGTCGCTAGCTGAGAGGAAAGACCCCACCAAGCGAGAGCCAGATGTAGCAACCGAAGAATCTACTTTCGCTGCACTTGAAAAAGAGAGGAATGGCGTAGAAGAAAATACATCGATTAAGAGACTATGGAAATTTCTCACTTGGACCCCCGAACGGTGCAGATGGAACCCCGAGAAGCCTCCAAAGTTCAACATGGCAATGAATCTTTTGTTTGGATTTGTAAGTTATGTTTCCAACTTGTTTTATAAGAGGCAGGGCATTATCAAGTAGAGTAAATACACTCGCGTTGGACAATAAGATACTCAAGCGAGCACATTCTCTCTTCTGCAGTTTACTACAAGCAGACTCTTCATGTGATACAGTCGCTTCGCTTCCTCAAAGTAGAAGCCAAAGTGTTGTCTCATTTTCGCTTAAACTTAATCTCTACCCTATCATTTGATCGGAAGTGCGTTGTATCTTGCAGGCTTCTGTCAATCTTGACATTTTAATAGACACATCTGATCAATTCCCACAGGCTTGTACATTTACCGTCGCCAACCTATACTACAACCACCCAATCCTCAATATCCTGGCAGTAGAATTCAACATCTCAGATGAAGCCGCATCTCTAGTTCCAACCATCATGCAGGCAGGCTACGCATGCGGACTCCTCTTCCTATGTCCTCTGGGCGACATATTCCCTCGACGACCATTCGTCCTACTTCTCGTATTCTTCACAGCAACAATAGTAAGTCCACTTTCCAGAAACCCATCAACCGCCTATACTCTCTCCCAAGTTCTAGTACAACTCAACAAGAGAAACATCACTAACCCACAAACCCAACAGTGGCTAGGCCTCTGCCTCACAACCTCCTACCCCCTCTTCCTAACCCTCTCCTTCCTCACCGCACTCACAACCGTAACCCCCCAACTCATGCTCCCCCTCGTCGGAGACCTAGCACCTCCCCACCGCCGCGCCTCCGCCCTCTCAATAGTCGTCTCGGGTCTCCTCCTCGGGATGCTAATCGCACGTCTCCTCGCCGGAATCCTCACACAATACACCTCCTGGCGGTCCGTCTACTTCCTCGCACTCGCGCTCCAATACCTAATCCTCATCCTGCTCTGGCTCTTCATGCCCGACTACCCGTCCACCAACCCCGCAGGGCTCAACTACTTCAAGATGCTCTGGAGCATCGCGCGACTCTTGCTCGAAGAACCGGTGCTGGTGCAGGCTTGTCTGGTAGCCGTGTTGGTGTCGACGACGTTTACGAGTTTCTGGACGACGCTGACGTTTTTGTTGGCGGGGGAGCCGTATGGGTTTGAGCCTGTGCGGATTGGTCTTTTTGCGTTGATTGGGATTGGGAGTATTATGTTGGGGCCGTTTTATTGTATGTTTTATCCCTTGTCCTGCCTACCATCTATCTCTATATATGAATCGATGATTCAAGTATCAAGAACTCGTACTAATAAAAAAAACAGCCCGCTGGATAATCGACAAACTTCCCCCCCTCCACTCCGTCCTCCTAGGAACCCTCTACAGTACCTCTCCCCCCTTCCCTCACCATCCCTTTCAACCCCCCTCCCCTTATACCTCCTCACTAACACCCCCCAG